TCTAGGGGGCGAAAGTTAAATTTTAGGAAGAAAAAGGCATGCTCGATTATCCTTATATGTTATATATAAGTCATATGAAGGGTCTAAATTTCAAGTAATATGCATGATAAGTATTATTTCCTTCACAACTAACATATGCAAAAACGAATAATCATATGATGATTTCATCATTCAGATTTGTAACGTACATACAAAACATAAGAGAGAGGAAATTTGTATATAACGTAACGGACTAATACGCACATATAACGTTAACTATTTCATTCAAATATTAAACCCCTTTCAAACAAGAAAATCTTAATATACAAACTCCAGGGAAAGTCAAATACAAAACTTGTACATGCAAGACAAGACAAGCAATAATTTTAAGTTTTCTATCAACTGCTATTTACTTGCATGAACCATTGTGGAACCAATCACTTCTACAATAAACGTCAAAAAAGAAGAACAGAATAAGAAAAAATAAATTACGTAAGTAATGAAAAAAAATTGGCGGCGAATAGACTTAAAAGAGACTAAACATCTTTCGTATCTTGTTCGTGTTTGGTGACCTTCGCTGAGGTTTTTGATCTACCTCCAAATTACCTAAATCCATCTTTTTAAATGCCTAATGCCTAAATTATGCCTTAAAAAAAGGATGTCCATAGAATGAATTAACTCCAGGATGACATGACTTTGAGGTTCACTCAAGATTCGGTTCTAGATAAACTAAACCATAAATTAAATATCTTAGTTTATTTCCCTTTTTTATATATAGCAGTATAAAATAAATTTGAGCAATTTTCCCTAAAAATATTTCATTGAATTACTTCCTTATTCTAGTTCCACACACATCGCGCATGTAACGTAATTATACCTGCTACCCATTCTTCTCGTATTGCACATTTTATATTTTTGTATTGTTTTTATTTTCTTAAAAAATTAAGAATGGAATATAACTTCTAGACTACTGACTTGTTATATAAACAGAAAATATACAAAGAATGTATAGAGTGTACGAATTTTCAGACGCATTATGTATAAAATGTTGGATCCTTTACATCTTTAATTTGTTGACCAGTAAGAGCTAGCCTCCACCTTTGTTCTTTAGCCTTGTCAATTGGGTAATGTAGCCGTAAAAGTCCTCAGCTGGCCATGTCCTTAAAGGAATGATTCCTAAATCCTATAAGGTGAGCATTGATGATGAGCAACGTCAAACATAACTCTTCTTGGGGCTAAATTGAAGGAGGATGCAACACCTATATATTGCTATTCAACAAGCACTGGCCTATTCAAAAGAGTTTTTCAGTCCTTAAGACTTTTGTTTCTATCTTCTTCACTCTTTTTGAGTAATCACCCCAATAAAAAGTTTGAGGTCCTATCTTTTCACTCACAAATATGACCAATTATAATGGTCTTGCGAAAATAGAAACGTAAAGATAAAATAGAGGAATAGTAAAAGCCATTTTTAAAATTTCTGATACATTTTATGATACATGTATGTGGATCACGGTAAGTTAACTTTCGAAAGCTGCCATCTTTTTAGATACCTTGGGAAAAAAAAGTTTTAGATACATTCACCATAATAAATTTTTCCATAATTTCAAGATAAATTTTATAGCTTATATTTATGTACATTAATGTTGAAAGAATAATTTAGTAGCTAATGAAAGAGGCGTTTTGCCTAATTAAACTTTCTTTATTTGTTATTTGTATTGAAATGTGTATTTACATTTTTGTACAAAAATATTTTTGAAGTAATGTTTGATTGAAGGGTAGAACCCTCACTCAGATTTTTGATGGGCAAATTAATAAAATAACTTTACCTAAATGTAAAACACTTATAATATAGTATAATATATATATAATCATACAAGTGGAGATAACATTATCATGAAAGCAGATTATGTAAGAATAAGACCAAATCTCCAAGATTATCTGAAGTTAAAAAGTCATTATTTTTTAATCAAAAGTAGTAACTAGGATATTTGCTTCCTTATCTATTATGCGATGTGGGAGGTGCCCATTTGCACATTTGTTTTTTTTACTTTTGGGGACTATAATCCACTTTCCTTCTCCCTCCTAGTTTCTCCGCTTAAGATTTTAAATCAATGGAGATGAAATACCATTTTATCTTTTAACTTTTTACGATTTATAAATGTAAATTTAGTAAAAACAGATAATATGTGAGATAAATAGATCCTCAAATATGTTAAAAACCGATTGAGAAAGACAATAGATTGAGCATATTTGATTTCCTTCGAGGTACATTCAAGTTTGACAGAATACCAGAGTTATCAAAAATAAATTTAAGTAAAAAAGAAAGATAGAATTATTCGGTATTTGTGTAGGTGAGATGTATTAGTCGAGGTATATGCAAATTTGATAGAACATTCAAAGTTATCAAATATAAATTAAAGTGCAAAAAAGGAAAGAAAATCAGTGAAGACGATATGTGTTGATATATATCACTAGGGGTGTTCATGGTTCGGTTTGAATCAGTTTTCCCTAAAAAGAAACCAAATCAAATAAGTCGGTTTTTCAAATATTGGAACCAAACCAAACCAATTAAGTCGGTTTTAATCGATTCGGTTTTGTCGGTTTTTATGGGTTTTTCTGTTATTTATCATTTTTTTTCTTAAATATGAGACATACACTACCAAACACGTATTCCGACGACTACATTTTCAACATAACACTACCAAACCAATTGCTCTTTGAGAAATCTATCATTTACCAAGATATATTGATGATAATTGAATCAAATAGTGATGAATAATTTAAGTACTCAATTTAAAATCGATTATTTTTAACATGAAATAAATTCTTGTATTTAGCAAAAGAAAACTACCAATCAAACTAGAATGTAAAGACAAACAATTAGATTATTATAATAGCAAAGAACTAGACTAAAGATACAATCGACTAATATGTACCAAATCTTTTTTAGAAGCTATATATANAAAAATTTAGTAGCTACTTCTATAGTCCGTTTGGTTCGGTTTATTTGGTTATTTTTTTATTAAAATCAAAACCAAACCAAATATGATCAATTTTTAAAATTCAAAACCAAACCTAAAAAGCATTATTTTTTGATCGGTTTGGTTCGGTTTTCGGTTTGGTTCGATTTTTCGGATTTTTATGAACACCCCTATATATCACATATTATCTTGCTCAAAAGTTTATTTATTAATTTTCTAATCCTTTGTTGTGGAAGAGTATCAATATTTCTCTATTAAACTAAACATCAGCATTTAATTTGGCTCAATTTTGCTGTAGGTTTGGTCCTGTATAGCATGTTTTGAATTAGTTTTAAGAGGCAGAAAAATGCCCAAAACGAGCTTTTGCTTGTATCAGCAAAACTAATCTGATTAGTTAAAACAAGTATTAAAACTTTCAGTTACTAATTTTCATTGTTTTTATAAGGTCAGGGACAATGAAATTTCTATTGGTTGGTGAGTATTTCGACAATTGAGAATACAAAGAGAATCTTTTTATTTTTTATTTTTTGTGTCAAAACGAAGAATTGACCATGTGCCTAAATTTCATTTTATCTGTTGTTTTGTTTTGTTTATTTAAAAAAATTATTTAATAGCATTAAGGGATACTTGACTAAATTATTAAATTATTTTTCCTTTAAATTTGAATAAGTTGGGTTCATTTCTTAATTTGGCTGGTTGCTCACAGTTATCAACTCGCTTATTGTGTTCCACGTGAGTGATAACGTGAATATCTGTTTTTTTTAATTATTATTTTTAACTTTTGTGACTTAACTTTAATTACTACTATTGGTTTTTGGTTGTCAACTAGTAACTTTTTTCATTTGATCCTTGGTTTAATAAATCAAATAATTTTGCACAAACAAACTTTGTTACGCCCTTGTTTAGTTCATTCACAATATCCTTAACCATTTCCAAATATTAATCAAACAATTAATCTAGCGTTTAACTTGCGTTGTTCACATTTATTTGGATTTAGATCTAAATTTAATAAAATAATTTTCAGCCTTAAATCACTTTTGATAACTACTTCTATAAGTCCGGCATAGCATTCAATTTGTACTTTGAAAGTCATTATTCCTTTGAGATGAAGGGACTACTTATAACTACCTTCAAAAAAAGAAATTCTCAAATTCAATTTGCTCTTTATAGAGTGTTTCTTTTTACCACCACCACCACCACCAATGATAATAGGCTAAATTATTTAATATAGCCTATGTTTTAGCTCAACTTAAGGATGATTTACTATTGTAAATGTTCAAATAATACAAAAATTGGCTATTTTCATGAGTAGCCAAATATACAGGCATATATACAAATCCTACATAGACAATAACAAACAACAACAACAACAACAACAACAACAATAATAATAACAACATACTTAATGTAATCCCACAAAGTAAGTATGAGAAAGATAAAATATACGCAAACCTTACCTCTACTTTATGAAAGCAGAGGTTATTTTAGATAGATCGTCGGCTCGAGAAAAAAATGAAAAAGAAGCAAAAGCAACAAATGATAACACAACAAGCAAATGTGATAAGTTGATAGATTAATCGAAGAGAAGAAAATAACATATAGTAAAAGAAATCTGCGAATAAGAAGATAGGAATATATGACAGTAATACTAATGCCACGACATGAAAAGGAGAATCTTTCAAATATAGAAAAAAATTACTGTAGGAAGGAGTGCAGATTATATAATCTTTCTCCTAGCTAGAAATATAGGATTCGAGCTCCGGAAATGAAAAAAGAAAAATTGCTGACTAGTGCTTCCCCTTTTAAGTGATCTTATACTATACGAGTCTAGATTAATTGACCAGAAACACTTTCCCTTAATCTGGACTAATCAAACAGTACACATCAAGTGGGGTTCAGTTAGTTGAAAAATCAGAAAATAAATGACAAAAGTGATTTTCAAAAATTATGCAGAGGTCATGACTATACCCTACACACCCTATTTATCACCCAACCAAAACAAACTCTTCACAATTGGCCTATTTGTCTCCCCTATATAATACTGACAACACATGCAAATCAGGAATTTTTCCCCATACCATTCATCTCCCTTTTCAAGAACCAATATAACAAACAAACAAAAATCAAACATTAGTAAAAAATATTCAAGAATCAAGAATGCCTTATAGCCATTTTTTCTTCTTTCTCCTTATAAGCTTAGCTTTTGCAGCTATGGCTGCTCCTACACTTAGGCCAGGTTTTTACACGGAAACATGTCCACAAGCTGAATTTATAGTCAAAGATGTGATGAAAAAAGCAATGAAAAGAGAGCCCAGAAGCTTAGCCTCAGTGATGAGATTGCAGTTTCATGATTGCTTTGTTAATGTAATAGTAAACATTTCAAGAATCCATTTTTTTGTTGCTGTATTTGAAAATTCTTGTTTTTGGGTTAATTTTTGTTTTATTTTTTTAGGGATGTGATGCTTCTTTGTTGTTGGATGATACACCAAATATGCTTGGGGAGAAAATGGCTTTATCAAATATAAATTCACTGAGGTCTTATGAAGTTGTAGATGAAGTTAAAGAGGCACTGGAAAGAGCCTGCCCTGGTGTTGTTTCTTGTGCTGATCTTTTAATCATGGCTGCTAGAGATGCTGTTGTTCTGGTATATTTATATTCTCATCTTTTCAACTTCCATTACCACAAAAAAAAAAAAAGAGGAAAAATTTCATCTTTTTTTTTTTTTNCAGCTAATTAGGGCGGGGGCAGGAGCAGAGATAGAATTCTGACTTTATTAGTTCCGAATTTTGAAAATACGACTTTAAAATTTAATGTTTGATTCTAAATTAAATATTTGTACATATTTAATGAACGTTTTAATACGAACTACTTTGTTTGAGCAAAAGCTATTCGAAACCATAGCTGGACTTCTGGTTCCGTCGCCCCTGGGCAGGAGAAGAATAAGGATATAATCATATAAATATGTATCTCAGAGTAAGCTTAATTATTTTGTTTTTTGATAAGGTCAAAGCAAGCTTAATGTAAACCAAATAATTTAAATAATGATGGTGTTCGGAACAACTTGTGTGTATTTTGATTATGTTGTTGCGTACTTGCTACCTCCCACTCGCACCAGCATAGGTGATAGGAAGCTCTGCCCATAAAAAATTAGACAGACGAGAAGAAATCACATATATTTTTTTTGGTCTCTACCGAAATTTAAGGAATACAAATAATTCATTGGTATACTAAGTCCTTGATCATTGTTCTGTATCATTACAAATTGAGGAGTGAGTAGGGGTAAAAGAAAAGGGAAAAGGAACCCCAAATGTTGTACTAGTAATTATGATGAAAAATCTCCTCTTATTCATTTTCTTTTTCCTATGCTGTCTTTTGAGTTACTTGGTAAAACAGAGGATCTTATTTGTTTTAAACTTTTACTCAGACTGGAGGTCCAAATTGGGAAGTGAAGTTGGGAAGGCTAGATAGTTTAACAGCAAGTCAAGAAGATTCAAACCAAATCATGCCAAGTCCAAGATCAAATGCAACATATCTCATTGATCTTTTCAACAGATATAATCTCTCAATCAAAGATCTTGTAGCACTTTCTGGTTCTCACTCCATTGGCAAAGGAAGATGTTTTTCTATTGTCTTTAGGCTATATAATCAGTCCGGCTCGGGCCGGCCTGATCCTACCATTGAACCAAGATTCAGAGAAAAGTTAGACAAGCTTTGTCCACTTGGTGGAGATGGGAATGTAACAGGAAATTTGGATGCAACACCTGAAGTATTTGACAATCAATATTTCAAAGACTTGGTAAATGGTAGAGGGTTCTTGAATTCAGATCAAACACTTTTTACTAACCCTTTTACTAGGGAATATGTTAGAGAATTTAGTGTAAGTCAGGAGAAATTTTTTAAGGCTTTTGTTGAAGGGATGATAAAGATGGGTGACCTGCAATCTGGCCGCCCAGGTGAGATTAGACGGGATTGCAGAGTGGTGAATAGCCGTCGTCCGCGAGTTGAAGTCTTGTTTGAGACTTCAAATAGAGGAGAGTAACCACCAACTGAATTGGAGAAAGGTTTGAAAAAGTCTATTGTAGTTTTATGATCAGAATAGTATCAATCAGATTGTTTCTTCTGATGTTTTATGGGCTTTGTTTGGATTTTACTTAAGTACTTCCTCGCTGTCTATGAAGGGTAACCTTGGTGTAACTAGTAAAGTTGCTGTTATGTGACCAGGGGTCATGGGTTCGAGCCGTGTAAACAGCCTTTTGCAGAAATGCAGGATAAGGCTGCGTACAATAGACCCTTGCGGTCTAGCCCTTTCCAGACACTATGACCGCGCATAGTGAGAGCTTAGTGCACTGCGCTGCCCTTATTTCTTGGTTGGCCGTGGCTGCTCTTGTATAACAAAAGACTTGATTATACAATACAATAAAATATATGTAACAGTCAAACAAATATTGAATTTGAATTAACAATACAATAGGTAACAACCATCCAAACAGCCTGAAAGACTTGAAGAGGGACATAATTCTAAGCCCCTGCTTTTTAAATTCACCATGTAAATGAAGGGAGAACATGTGTAGGATATGCATCATATTTCAGGGCAAGAGCACGTACAGAATTATCATTTGCAACTTCTCCAAATTTACTAAGTTCGAGTTCAGTAGCATGAACTCCACATGATGTGATAAATAGAGATGCAATTCCAGCTGCATTTGCGCCTTTGATATCATGGTGCAAGGAATCTCCTACTCCAATACAATCCGAGGCATCCACAGCAGCAGCCATATCCATAGCTGACTTGTATATTATCTGCAACGAGCTCGTCAGGAGATAGTTCAACGATGTTCAGAATATATCAATTGAGAGAAAGAAGCACAACATCAGACAAATAATGATCATGTATTTAAGCACTACATTCATGTTATTCCACCAATCAGGGGCGGACGTAGAGTATTAGTTATGGTTTCATTCAGTAGCTGTGACTCAGATCAGTATCAAATGTATTGTGGTAGAGTTTCGAAGTCAAATCTATAAAGTTAAAATCTTGAATATAACTTACCTTATGTGGTTTACCCATCCATTTTACTTCACCTCCAAGTTTTTCATATGTGGCTGCCAATGTTCCTGAAAAATAAGTCCAAAGAGAAGAATCTCAGTCTTGAATCTAAAGATGGACAAAGACAAGGTACAATGTGACAGGTGTCTGCATGGCTTTGGTCTAGTGGTAATAGTAAATGCGCATTTAGTCATGTGTGGGCTACACTTAGGGGCTTCGAACCTTATCATAAATAAAAGCCTATATTTAAGAAAAGAAGGATAGAGCGCCCCCATTATCCACTAGTTCGGAAATTTCTCGGGTATAGAGAAAAGGTACAAGGTGAAGGGGAACCTTGGAGCAATGATCAAGTTGTTTTCATGTGACCTATAGGTCACGAGTTCAAGCCGTGGAATCAGCTACTGATGCTTGCATTAGGGTAGACTGCCTACGTCACACCTCCTTGGAGGCGGCCCTTCCCTGGACGCTGCATCAGGCTGCCCAACGTATAAAATAACTCAACCAGCGAAAGCGTGAGTGCAAGAAAAACATTCTTACCGGGCATAGCACGTAGATTTCCAGGCTCTATAGTTACATAATCAGGATTTGCTACCACCATTGGAATTTTCTTAGAAGCACATTGCTCCAGTATCTTCTCAAGGTCATCAAGATTCATTGGAAGTGTGTCACCAGAAGAAAGGCCCAAAGCATCAGTTCCGTGAACCAAAATAAATTTGGCTTCCTGAACATTTTCCACTACTTCTAGTCCGAGGCCCTGAAGTAAAAAACCAGAGCCACCAACCAGTTAGTTGAGAAAGACTAACATTTTCTTCCGGTTCAAACAGTAAAGAAAACCTATGGATATTATTCTAAGGAACTCGAAAAGCTATATGTACCTCGAGAGAGATAGCACCCTTGTCGCTCCAAGTCATGTGAATGCATGATCTTCCTAAAGAGGCAAACCATTCGTCGTCTCTCCTGATCATAATCAAATGTAATAGAACACATTCACTTACATATCTGATAGAGAGTGGATGTGATTTTATTAAGTTTTTTTCATTCGAATTGACAGTCCTAAAAGCAACACTGTAAAATAAAAATGACATAATGCGAGGGATGAACGAGAGAATTTAGCAGCGATAGAAGTTGATGATGACTACGTGAGACGGTGAGAGCAGTCATTTGGTATATCAAAAATCAAGCGAGACATGCATAATACAAAGAAATTTGAAGCACCATATATTGAAGCATCTTAATTTGATGATCAATAGAAACTTAGCGAAGATATAAATACAGAACAACAGACTTAGTCTAATCCCATAAACGGGGTCTGGTCAGCGAAGAAATAAATCATTATATAATTTGCTCAATATCTACTTTAAATGTAAAAAAGTATGTAACCTTAGAAGATACTGATGTGTTAATTCTCCACTGGTAATAACACCAACAAAGAGTGATGTATCAAATCCAAGGCTCTTCAATTTTTCCAGGGTTGTAGATGCTCTTCTTGAAGAATTACTAATGATTACCATTTTTGCACCATAACTTGCCAACTTTTCCACTGCTTAATATCATTAGTTAGACATTAGGAAAACTAATTAAAACAGTAAGGAACCACTGAAAGGTGTGTATATACAAGCTTAATTACCAAAATATTAAAGCTAAGAGATGAAAACGTACACGTCGAAATGGCACCAGGATAAGGTTGTTTCCCATCATGAAGTACTCCAAACTGATCAAGAAACCACGCCTGAAGTAAAATTTTTGGAAACTCTTCAGGAATTCCAATAATGTGCAACTTATATAAAACAATTATAACCACTTCAGATCCCGACCTTTTATAACGTGCGACACGACGGCAAATCTCGGTGTTCAACTAAGTTTAGACAAATCCGACATTTTTGAAATGATGGTGGGACAAACCACGTGTCTCCTTGCATAACATGGATTCCAAACATTTATGATCTGGATGTAAATGAGTCGAATGACTTATCCCTCGGTCTATTGGTGAACCATCTTTCCAGGGATTGTGAAAGACGTTCTACTAGAAATATTCTTGTTATTGCTTGACTCATATTCCCCAAAAGTGGATATTGTAATGTGTTTACAATAAGATTTGCACATGATCTTTTTTTTCCTTCCAAGTTCCATCTCCATTTGATTTTTTCCCTCCTCACTACAAGAACAAAATCCTTCGGGCTTGGCTGGGTTGTTTCCTTTGGAACAAAAACCCAGCCCAACACGAGCAATTAAGAGAAGCCCGGCCCAGTTCAGGAACCGGCGGGCTCACCCTTAATGAGTCGGATTTTGAAAGACACATAGAAATTGGTAATAACATGCAATTTTACGGGGAAGTATACAGTTAGCTACTAATTAATTAGAGATGAAAATACCCCTGTGCTAGACATGGGTTCTCTGTAAATATTAATGACAAAGTGTCCTGTCAAGTCCTTAACTTCATATGTGTAGTGTAAATGTTAAGGACATGGGTCCTTAACTTCATGTGTGCAGACTGCAGTGTAAATGTTAAGGACACCATGTCCTTAATATTTACACAGCACTCATGAAGAAAGGGTAAAAACGTCATTTCGTATTAATTTTAATAGAGTAGCGGCTATTTTTGCTCAACATTAAAAATACCGAATAAAAAATAAATACCATATTAAAAAGTGGCTATCCCACGCTATATCTACCAATTTTACTACATTATCATCAGTTTGAGCAGAATTCTTATAAATATACCGCTGCACCTCACGTATGATTAAATCTGATACTATAAAGACTAAACCTTCCGATGAGAACCCAATGTTCTGTAATCATCCCATTTTAATTTAGAGGAATTAAACAGGAAAACTACCATTGTTTGGTATAGTGTAAAATACTTCTTTTGATGATTTTCTAAAGTTTTGTTGTCTCAAATTAATGAAATTGTTTTCCTAAACTAAATAGCAAAGGAGGGAAAATAATTTACATCATTGATGGGCGCAAGTCATTTTCCTCTTCATCTATCTTTTAGCTATATGGTTGTTTATTAATATGTCCAAAGAAAATTAGACCAAAAAAAAAAAAAAAAAA